GGCCCTCGAGGGGCCCTCGAGGGGCCCTTCGAGGCCCCTTTTGGAGCCAGCAGGGGCCCCAGAGGGCCTCTTCGGGGCCCTATCCTTCACCGCTCATTACCACCCCGCGTGGGGAAACTCAGCGGCCAATTGCGCAGCACGCACACAGCTCGACATCCGCCACGGAAGTATCATCGCTTTTCTGCCTGACCTTCCGCGGCAGGAAAGCAGCACTGGCGGCGGAGAATCGCAGCCAATCGATGCTTCTCACCACTTTGCCAGTGCACATCTGCGCGGCATCTTCTCTGCCGATGCGCCGTCGAGGCGCCTGGCCCCTTGCTTGCCATTTTACCACCCACCCACCCGCAAGTTCCCTGTGCCTCCAGGTCGACCGGGTGAAGAACGTGCGGCTTTGCTTCGCCACCACCATGCTGCCGCACCTCCGACGGGTGGGCGGCCGTCTCGGCCGGTGTCGAGCGCTCGTGCTCGCCGCGAGGAGGGTCTGCAGCGACGGCTCCGACCGGGAGGCCAAGAGAGTCTTGGCGCCCTGCGCGGAGGCCAGGCACGGGGAGGACATCCGGAGGCGCAGAGGTCGACACCAACACCAGTAATTATGGGCGGCTGCCTCCGCCGATCGACTGCACGGAAGAGTGGCCCTTCGCCGGAGTGACCTTCGGTGCGGGCCCACCTGGGGTCCCCCGATGGCCAAGCGCGAGGCGGCAGTGGCGCCAAAGGTCATTCTCACCCAGGGTCACTCTTGCGTGTAGCCGAGCCGAGGGAAGACGAGCTCGAGCTCGGTGATGGTGGTCATGTGCGGGCTTCTCGGGTGGCCGAAACGTCACCACCAGCACAAAAGCCTAGGATCACCTTTCCCCAGGGATGCACGCTCGACTTTCGGTTTGACGTCTCTGCGCAGCCTGCCTTGAAGCATGCTTTTTTGAGGTGGCTCACCGTGCGAGCAAAGTGCTCTGGGCTACCAGTCATTCGGCCGTTCGCGCCAGTGCGTTGAGCTCCACAAAATAATGCATGCGCAAACGCAAGCGGACGACATCGTTGTGTTTCGAATAGGAGATCGACTACATAATTGTTTTGCCCCCAAATTGATCTTCCCATCGAGTAGACTAGAATTATGTAGAATGTTCGTAGATCTACAAAAATTATACGCATTGCTCGTGGACTCGACGGGGTAGACCAATTTTGGGGGTACGGTCGGACCGATCGAGGTCGGTCCGGGAAGGATACCCTGATGCTCTTCGTGTTTGTCGGATATTATTGTGCATCCTCGGAGAGGCTACCCTGGAATGCTCTTCAGCTTGGCCAGCGGAGGGTCTTCCTGTCCTTGCAGGATGTCTTTCCTGCCCCAGGTCTGGCCGCGAGTCCTTTCTGCAGTCGATCTCCTCCCCGATGTGCTGCTGCCGGTGCCAATCTGCGTGAGGAGGAGGAGGAGAGAAAGAGGAGAGGGAGGAGGAGAAGGGGGAGGAGGAGGAGGAGGAGGAGGAGGAGGAGGAGGAGGTGCCTCCACAGGAAGACGACCTCGAGGGCCCGGAGCCCGACTGGCACGACCGTGCCGCCGCCGGCCCGCTGGCGGCCGAGGGCGGCACCGGGGGGCCCCGCCACGCGGTGGAGCAGGCGGCCCGGCAGACGCCGCTCTGGGCGGGGTTGGAGGCCTCGGGGGCGCGGCCAAAATCGGGCCGGGCGAAAGGGGGGGATTGGGAAAGGGGGGGTTACGAAATTTGCTGCATGCAGCTGGTTTCGGCCTCACCGAGGGCCCATTCCTCGATACATGGCCGCCTCGGCGCCGGGAGGCGCCGGGAAAATCAGCTACGTGAGCTGATTCTCAAACCCCCCCTTTGCTATCCCCCCCTTTCGCCCGACCCGACAATAGGTCGGGTGTTGCTCGAAGTGCCCCTGGGCCAAGGTGCCCCCAGGAGTTCCAGGAAGGCCCCCACGGCCTCCAGAGCACCCCTCACGAGGCCCAGAGGGCCCCAGGGGCTGCAAAAGTGATCGAAAAGCTGGGGGGCCTTGGGGGGCTTTAGCCCCCCGAATAGGGGAACAACATCGGAGGTGCGGATTTCTCGGATCGGCGCTGGGGCCCCCCGCGGCGCCTCCGGCGCCGCCCCTGGCGCGCTCCGCGCGCCAGGGAGGGGGGTCCAGCGCCGATCCGAGAAATCCGCGCGGACCTCCGAGTTTTTATGTTTATACCATTTTTTGTTCCCCTAGCCAAGAGGGGGGTGATGGCCGTACAGTCAACCCGCATAGTGAGGATGGGCATCCTTCCCAAGGGTACCATTGCATCCTTGCCTCCTCGGTGCATCCTTGGCCACTCTCGTTGGCCGCGCCCCGCTCGAAGAGCTTCGAAATTGGCGTCCAAGGCCCTTGCATCCTTATCGTGCGTCCTGATGATACGGGTTGACTGTACCCCAAACTTGATTTTCCCGTCGACTCCTTACGGAAAATGCACAGAATGCTCCATTGATCGACGGAGCATTCTACGTATCTCTCGCAGGTTCTACGAAGAAACATCCGGCGCAAATCCATTATGTAGTCGATTTCCTACTCGAGACCTGGGGTGGATACCATGGCAGGGGGCATGATATCTCCCAGATCTCATGGCCCAAACAAGTGAGCGAGAAGGGTGAAAGCGTGACTGTTTTCCCTTGAGGCCGGCGAGCAGTTGCGTGCTCACCATTTGTCTTAAGACTTGCTGAGCTAAAGCCCCAAGGCTTCGGACGTGCAGCAACAGCACACCACCACCACCCCCATCCACCACCACCCCCACCAGTGTTGAAACGAGCTTCTTTCAGTACCTCTCCGGGCCCCCCCTGGGGCCGCGCACGCGCCTCGGGACAAGACCTACGAACCCCCTCTATTCGACGCCCCCCTCTTGGACGCCCCGAGAGGTCCTGGACGACGCCGGCGGCCTCGGCGGCGCTGGCGGCCCGGCCGCGGCCGCGGCCGCCGCCGCCGCGGGCGCCGCGGGCGCGCCCGAGGAGAGGGGCCCAGCGGCGCCCGTGCGCGCGGCGCCGCGGCCTGCGGCCGCGCAGGCCTCGTTCGGCGCGGACCCGGTCGAGGAGGGCCTCGTGGCGCAGGCCTCGTTCGGCGCGCACCACAGGAGGAGGACGAAGAGGACGAGAAGGACTAGAGGGAGGACGGAGGAGGAGGAGGAGGAGGAGGGAGGAGTAGGAGAGAGTGGAGGAGGAGGAGGAGGAGGAGGAGAGGAGGGAGGAGAGGAGGATGAGGAGGGGAGGAGGGGAAGGGGGAGGAGGGGGAGGAGGAGGAGGAGGAGGAGGAGGAGGAGGAGGAGGAGGAGGAGGAGACGAGGAGACGAGGAGACGAGGAGGAGGAGAAGGAAGAGGAGGAGGAGGAGGAGGCGGAGGCGGAGGCGGAGGAGGGGGAGGAGGATCCTCCTCCTCCTCCTCATCATCATCATCAGCATAATCATCAACACATCATCATCACATCATCATCACCATCACCATCACCATCACCATCATCATCATCATCATCATACAGCGACTTGTCGGCATTTGTGGGTTTGCATGTGGCCGCACCTCCATGCTCAAGTTCTTGAGGGAATGCAGGCATTGTTCGAATGTCTCACGCACGATCTCGCCCGTGCCCTCTCCACGGCTCTCATCGTGCGCGGCAGTTCTCCTCCGTGTCCAGCCTGCGATTGCGTGTGCTCACCCGCGCTGCACTGTCCCGCGCTGGAGTGCCGCTGCCCAGGCGGCCTGGGCACGGCGACCCCCGCCCCCTCGGAGGCCGAGGCCGCGGGCTTCTCAGGCGCCGCGCTGGGCTGCGCGCTGCTCCTCGGCGTGCTGGGCGGCTGGGCGCTCGCTGGCTGGGCCTCGCGCCGCGCGGCGCCCTCAGCGCGGGGCAAGCCGTTCGCGCTGGAGGCGGACGCTCGCACGTCTGACTTGGCGGCGGAGGCAGCAGCGCAGGCTGCACGCTTTCGCAGAGCGTAGTCGGGATGGCGACGCCTACTGCGGGCCAGTTCCACCTGGTGAGGTACAACGTGGGCGGTCCTGCCATCTACCACGAGCGATTGACGCTGCTGCCTGGGTACGTTCTCACGCCCGACGGTGATGACTATGCCGAGGTTGCCACCCCGAATCACGACATCCGATCGATTCACATTCTCAGTGGGCAAGGTGAGGAGCCTCCTGGGATACCGCCTCAGCATCTTTATCAGTTTCGACAGCTCCCTCGGGCCGCTGAGGTGTGGGCGGCGCTTCACCGCGCGACGGCCCAGGGGTTCGGAGCTACGCCTGCGTCGCCTTTCTGCATCGACCTGAGTGCCACCAACGTGCTGGGGCTGGCTGCGGGGGCGCTGGCGCTCCCCGACCCTGCAGCCGTCGCGCCTGGCGCGGGCGCTAGGGCCCTCGCGCCTGCGGGCGACCCAGGGTTGCCTGGCGGCGCCGCCCCCGCGGCGGGCGCCCCGCCGGCTGCTGGCGCCGCCGCGGCGCTGCCCGCCCACGGCGGCCCCGCAGCTGCTGGACCCCCCGCTGGAGCTGGAGGCGTCGGCGCCCTGGTGGCCGCCCTCGGTGGCGTAGGGGCTGGAGCCCCAGCCGCCGCGGCTCCAGTCCCCGGTGCCGCGCCCGCCGCCGCTGCGCCGCCCCTCGGCACAGACCCGCGGGCGATGGCGCTGGTGCTCGACGGGCGCGGCTTTCGGGACATCACCTTCAGCGACGCGGCGAAGCTGCAGACGGAGACGGTGAGGGCCGACTGGCCAGTCAAGGGCCCTCGGACATTGCTCTGGGCCCTCGGGTTCATGCTACGTATGGCTGGAGGCGCTATGGCCTGGCACAATAGGTGGATTGCGATGACGCAGCTCGGGGAGTCCGACGAGTACGCGAAGCTCCACGAGACCTTGCGCCGCGTGATCGAGACCGCCCTTTGCCACGACCAGCTGGTGATATGCGAGCTGGCCTCTTATGAGCACCTCGCCCGTCAGCTTCAGTTGATAGAGGAGCGCGCGTTCGAGGAGCGCGCACGCAGGAGCCAGCCCGCGCCGAAGGCCAAGGCCCAGGTCAAGGAGCTCGCGGCAGCGGACTACGGTTCAGAGGTCGGCCACTTCCTCGGCACGGGCGAGACGAAAGGGAACTTGTGCATCTGCCCTGCGCTGATGGATTGGATCGCCGATCAGATGAAGATGGAGGCAGCTGTCGCAAAAGAACGCCGCAAAGCTCGTGAGGAGCGAGCCTTGCGGGCGCCATGACGCCCCCTCAGGACCCTGGCCAGGATGGGCCTCACGAGCCTGTTGCCATCGCTCGTGAGCCTGGCCAGGATTGCCCAGAGGCCCTCGAGCCTCCGCCTGGTCTGGACGCGCCCACACGCGGTGCCGATCGCCAGCGCGATGTTTGCCCGCTACCTCATCTTCCTGTGGATGGGCGCCGCCATCTTCCGCCGGGTCGCGCTGCTCGTCTGCGCGCTGCCAAGGGTGCGGGCTGGCGGGAGTGGTGCAACGAGGGGTTCACCGCTCTCAACTGGCTCCATAGTGGCCGCGACGCGGGGCCCCTCCCGCAGGTTGGTGGCGACCCGCCCGCCGTGCAGGCTGCCTCGGTGGACTACCTCTCGAGTCTGCATCGGGAGTTCGAGCTGCCTGCCGCCTACTCGGAGAGGAGCAGCGCTTGCGAAGCATCCCTGGTAGAGATGCTCGCTCAGGCTCCTGGCTACGCTGGTGACAGCGGTCGGGTCCGCCCCTACAGCCAGCCCCTCGTGGCCTGGCCCAAGTCGACGAAGGCTGTGTCCACCTCCGACGTCGTCTCGGATGCCGACTCCATCGTGCTGCAGGGTTGGAGGCAGACTATGTTGAATCCCGAGTCGGTTGTTGCGGAGCTCCGCGACGAGCTGGGCATTCAGCGCCCGTACGTCGACCCCGAGCTTCGCTATCAGCCCAAGTCTTACGCCCAGTTTTTGAAGCAGCTGGAGGCTCACGACATGATATCATGGAGAGCCGCCAGTGATCAGTCTTCTCACACCATCGGTTTATTCTTCGTGGAGAAATCCAATCACATGCTTAGGCTCGCGTTCGACACTAGGCTGGCCAACTGCAGCTTTGTCACGCCGCCACCCACCAAGCTTCCCACGCCCAGCGCGTGGGCCAGTGTTGATTGCGACGACAGCTTCGTTTTCGCACAAGGCGATATTCATTGTGCCTTCTACCACCTGCGCCTGCCGCCAGGGATGGAGTCGCTGTTCTCGCTGCCCGCGATATCCAATCGTCACATCGGCCTCACATCGATTCAGGGGAGGCCCGTCGGCATCCACGATTTTGTCCAGCCGTTGGTCACAGTTGTTCCCATGGGTTGGAGCTGGGCCCTTCACTGTTGTCAGAGCGCCCTCGTTCGTGCCCTAACCGACGCTGGATTCGACAGTGGCGACATGATCGTGGACGGAGGATGACCCCGTAAGTTAGTCTCTCACACCGACGCCATATGTGCTGGATACGGTGACAATTTCTGCGTTGTGTCAAAAAGCCCTGAGGTTTCCACTCGCCGTGCTCGTGAGATCGCCGACCTTTTGACGTCCCGAGGCTTGCCTGTCCTGGAGTTCTCGGAGGCCGTCAGTAAGGGTGTCTTCACGGGCTTGCAGATTGACGGTCTCTCGGGTGTCGTTCGAGTTCGGCCCGATCGCCTTGCCCGTACACGGCAGGCTGTACTCGGACCCATACGACGTGGTCGGGCCTCTGCGGGGGCTCTCAGCGTGCTGGTGGACCACTGTACTTGGGGCGTGATCTTGAGGCGGGATGTCTTGGCGATCGTCAACTCAGTCTATAGGTGCATCAACGTGGCGGGCGCCCAACCCGCGCCTCTTTGGGATTCTGCCGTTAGGGAACCTCGAGCCGCAGTTGCCTTGATCCCCCTCTGGAGTGCCTCTACTAGGTCCAGGTGGTCGTCTAGGGTCTACGCGTCCGACGCGTCGACGCACGGGAAGGGCGCGCGCGTCAAGGTGATCCCCCCCGACCTGGTCTCGGAGGTTGGCCGCGTGGCCGAGAAGTGGAGGTGCCACCAGGGCCCCAGCGTGCTCGCGAGGGCCCACGCATTCGGCCCCGTTGGCCCCCATCACGACGCCGCCGACCGTGCTCCTCCTGCCGCCCCGCCCTCTGCTGCTGATGTGTCGTCGTCGACTACGTCTAGCTTCTTGGAGGTTCCCGAGGCTGTCTTTGGGTTCGACGGCTGGAAGACGATCCACTCGAGCAGGCACACGCGGTTGGGGTGTGATATTTTGCAGTATGAGGCCGAGGCCCTGGGGCTCAGCATTCACCATGCCTCGAGGACCCTCGGAGCCCACCATCATCGCATGTTATGCCTCGTTGACAACTTGGCTCTAGCCCTGGCTGTCGGCAAAGGGCGGTCGGGGAGCCCGCATCTCGTGCGCGCGCTGAGGCGGCTCTCTGGCGTCACCCTGGCACGCGGGCTGCGGCTGCTGGTCCGATGGGTGCCTTCTGAGCGGAATGTCGCCGACAAGCCGTCGAGGGAGGGCTTCTTCGTCGGGCCGAGCTTCGAGGATTTCCTGGAGAAGCAAGTCGCGCGGCGGCCTCGTCGGGCCCAAGGAGGTGATCAAGACCGCGAGGGCTCGGAAGACCCACCCTGGGCCCTCCAGTCTCTCGAGAGGGAGTCTCTCAGTGCTGGAGGCGTCAGCCGTCTCGGCCTCCACGGGCAGGAACTACCACGACTGCGCCCAGAAGTTTCTGAGCTGGTCCCTGTGGACCGCGCGGGACTTCTCCTGCTGCGCCGACCTCGACACCGCGCTGGCGGTGTACTTCGCGCATCTGTTCCTGGACGGGTACGACAGCGCGACGGGCCGCACCACGCTGGCCGCCCTGAGGCACCATCTCCCCTCGATGCTGGTCGGGAGTCGGCCGCCGCCGCGGGCGTTTCGGCCGTCGGACGCGCAAGGAAGTCAAGGACCGCGGGCGCTGGCGGACGGATCAGTCCCTGAACCGCCATGCAAAGCGGGCGCGGATGCAGCAGCGGCTGGGGCAGCTCGCACCTGCACTGGTGGACTTCGGCGACGAGGTCGAGGCCAGGCTGCTGCAGCTGATGGAGGTGACGGCGAGGACGGGCATCTTCCCGCTCCGCTTGCCGCCCCTGATGCCCGCGTCGGCGCCGGCGGCAGGGAAGACTGCGCCCGCGCTGACCGATCCGTGGGGGTTCGACTGAATAGGCTGCGGCGGCGTGCCCGTTTGCGCGCCACTGTTTTGCCGTACTTCGTCACTTTGTGCATCTGCGTGCCGACTCGGGTGCGACTGGCCTGCGAGGATCACGGGTTAGGAACAGTAGCCATCAACCTTGCCAGACATCGTGCTGAGGACGCCTCGGATCCTCGGGTTGTGCAGATGCTGCTGGGCTGGGTGCGATCATCGGCCGTCTCGGGGCTGCGGGCGTCCTTGCCGTCGGCGACCTGGTCATCCAGCGGAGCTCGATGCCGCCGCCCGGACGCCCCGCTTCAGGGCGCCAACAGTGATGATACCACCCTTCGCGCCATCCGCCTGGCCAACGCCTTGGCAGCGTCTGTCTTTAAGCTGATTCGAGAGTGCACGGCTCGTCAGGTGCCTGTGATTTTCTGGCGCCCAGAGGCAAGCCTGATCTGGCGACATCCACTCCTTTCCTCGCTCCTCACCTCTGCCTCCTCTTTTTGCTCCCTCGATTCCTGCATGTTCTCGGGTCGGGTTCGGCAAAGGTTTTTTTTGATCGGATGGGGCGTCCGAGATCTCAATTGCCTGTCGCGCCGTTGCCTCTGCACCCTAGGCCTGTGTGACCGTACCAACCGCCGCCACCTTGGCGGCCTAGGGCGTCCTGCGCTGGATGCCGCTGCACGTTGCTCAGCTCGTGGGCTTCCTTCTCAGGTAGCCACTGCAGGCACTGACATGATAGTGGCCGCTGCTCGACAATTATCTCGTGCCGCTAGATACAAGAAAATGTTTGGTCAGTGAAGTATTGCGGCTGGGGCCATGAGTCGTGACTTGCGTTAGTTACCGAGTCTGTGTTTCGAAGCTTGCCGTTGCTCTCGTGCGCCGTCGCCCTTCTGTACAAAAAGTACCCGATGGCCTCGAGAGAGCCCCACATACAGCGACTTGTCGGCATTTGTGGGTTTGCATGTGGCCGCACCTCCTTGCTCAAGTTCTTCCCTGGGCCCTCCCGCCCAACTTGAGCCGAAGAATAACTGTTTGTGTGCTGTGCTGACCGAGTCTGTGCTTCGAGGCTTGCCGTTGCTCTCGTGCGCCGTCGCCCTTCTGCACAAAAAGTACCCGATGGCCTCGAGAGAGCCCCACATCATCATCATCGTCATCATCAGCATCATCATCAGCATCATCATCAGCATCATCATCATCATCATCATCATCATCATCATCATCATCCTCATCCCCATCCTCATCCTCATCCTCATCCTCATCCTCATCCTCCCCCATCACCCGCGCCACCCCGTCGGCGCGCGCCGCCCCAAGAGAAGCAGGCCGACATCGAGCGCGAGCTCGACGCCGCGTACGCGGACCGCCGCCTGCTCGTGGAGGCGAAGCGGGACGGCGAGGCCGGCGAGGGGCAGCGTGAAAGGGGGGGACGATAAGCCACGACAGGGACAGCGCCAGGGGCTCAACGTCGGAACGCAGGAGAGGCTTGAGGTTCTCGGACGTTCTCGTCGGTTCCCGGTGAAGTTTTCCAGCTTCGGGGTGTGTTTTTGTCGCTGCGCCCCGCCGAGGGCGTTCCGGCTTTGCCCAGATCGTCTCCAACGGCCGCCGGAGAGCCAAGCCAGGACCCGAAGCCAGACCTCCAGAGGCTCGAGAGGTTGCGACGGGGTGCCACGACAGGGGCTCCTTTCCCCGATCCCTTCGACGAGGTTGTGGTGTGCTCCAGCACGACACGCACGAAGGGGATACGTACTTGAGCAACGAAGGAAAACGGGTTCGTCTGCACCGACATTGGCGCGTAAGCTGACCACGTGAGGTCGCGCGTAAGCGCCTTCGTCTCCAATGCAGTGTGCCGCGCTGGTGGCCCGCGTAAGCCACAGCGGAAAGGCG